ATAAGCTATTTGACTTCTGGACGGCTGCTTTCACGAGGGGTGATTGTGGACCCAAGTAAAATGAAACCCTGGAAAACTCGAATCTTTCCTCCTTTTGCCACAATGTTATGTATGAGAGCAGTTGAGGATTTTTGCTTTTTAAAATTTTTTTTATATGGAACCGTGGTGGTATACTGGTTACACATTGGGCTGCTAACTTCGAGGTCAGCAGTTCAAAGCTACCAGCTGCTCCCTGGGAAGAGAGACATGACTTTCTACACCTATAAAAATTTCAATTTTGGAAACTCACAAGGGCAGTTCTATCCTGTCTAAAGGGCAGCCATAAATTGGCATGGCCTCGATGGTTTGGGCTACATTGAGCTGTGATCTGCAGGATGTGCTTCGGTTATTCTTACAGCAAGGTTGTGTTGTCTGCCTGTCTGTCTCAGGTCAACCGGCCTCCCTCCAATCCTGATGCTTCCTTCTGCTTCAGGTAGCATCTGCTCAGTGCATAGACTGAAAAAGTGTGGTGTAAGAAGTTAACCCAATGCACATGTGCTTGGATTTTATGCCATAAAATATGCTCTTGTTCCGTTTGAATGACTGACTGTTAGTCTATGTACAGGTTGCACATAAGCACAATTAAGTGCTCTGGAAGTCTCATTCTTTGCAATATTATCCACGATTTGTTATGATCTGCAGTTAAGTATCTTAGCATCATCAACAAAACACAAGTAAATATATTGCTGGCATTCTCTGCTTTCAGCCTAGGTCCATCTGAAGTGAGCAATGATAGACCTCATGCCGTGTCCTCTTCTGAGTAGGGCTTGCAATTCTGGCAGCTCCCTGTTGCTGTTCTGCCAGAACTGTGTTTAAATTATCTTCAGCAAAATTTTACTTGTGTACAACATTAATAATATTTGGTAATTCCATGTTCTGTTGGGTCTCCCTTCTTTGGAATGAGCACAAATATGGATCCCTTCCCATCAGTGATCCAATGAGCTGACTTTCACATTTTTTGACATCGATCCCTGAGCACTTCCCATTTTGCATAAGTTCATTGAAACATCCCAACTGTTAAAAAATGATGACTCCTTTGATCCATATTACCATCTGACCAATATTCTGTAACTTAAGCAATCTTATGTAGATTAATATTTAATGTACTTCTGATATTTAACAATTCTACAATGAATATCTTATGTATAGATTTCTGCAACCGACCCTTTGACCAATGCCGTCAGTGCAGCCTGGACTTCTTCCTTCAGTCTAACTGATTCTTATCCATGTGTTACCTTCCATGGAGCTACTCTGGGGATTTTACAAGCACCCAAACCAAGCAAACCCATGTCACACTGTGGAGTGACTGAATGTAGCTTTGGTGCCAGGGATGCACATTCTAGTTCTGGTCTTGCACTCCCTAGCTTTGTGGCCCCGGAGCAGTTCTCACCTCGGCATCACAATGGCCACAGTGATATTTGTCTCCTGTTGTGGGTTGTGACACTTTAATATGATAACACACACACACCCCAGGTTTAGCAGAGTGCTTAAGACATAGCAAGTCCTCTAAGACAACTGCTTGTTCACAGACTCAACCAGCAGATTTCCAACACTATCGGGCACTGTGTCAAGCAGTGACCTAAACAGACAGATACTCCTTTCTGATGAAATGTATATTCTAGAAGAAAAGCAGAGCACTTAAGTAGTAGTTGATATAATTTAGTATTCTTGCTAAACCAGTGGCTCCCAGTTGGGGGGGTAGGGGCAGTTCTGCCTCCCAGTGGCCAGTGGTAATGGTTTTTTTCAAGGATTCAGAGGGATGCTTTGTATAAAATGAGTTCACATGAATGGAGGATGAACAATTCTGAAAACAAGGGTGCTGATGGGTGCACAAGTTGACACCTGCAATCAAGGTCATCAGACTACACATTTTAGAATGGCTGCATGGGCCTATGTTCTCTTACGTATTTTTCCAACTACACAGTGAAATTTCAGAAATGAGATCATATATGCAAGCTCATGCAATGAGCTCTGCCACCCTCACTGATGTTACCTTACCGAGTGAGTGATGATGTTTGTTTGTGCATGTACTCACCCACCCACCCCTCTCCGCAGCACCCCTCGGAGCAGGTATGCTGGTCACATGAGTTGAAGATATAGTGGGCACCTACCTAGGTGGTAACCTACCTAAAATTCCAAAGTTGGTATCAGGAAGGGGATTCCTACCCAAGTACCCTCACTGCACAGCCTGCCCTCCTAACCAACACGGGCCTTTCACGGTGAGTTGTTGCTTAAGCCACCGTAGACACTCTCTCATAGTCACATGTCTCCTGCTGGGCATGGCTCACCCTCTCCTTCATTTCCAAGAGTTCCTCTGCTCTGCAGGCCACCGGTTTGACTCCCTCATCCTGACTGGCAGCCATTCACATACCAAGCCAAAAGAGAATGAAGTTTCCTTTATTCTTCAAAATACTTTCTTTTAACATAGGTGTGTATTAAATATCATGTATAATTCAAATGCACTAAGGGACAGTGAATTCTCCTGTCTCTTCTTGTCTATAAACTGTCAGACCTTTCTATTCAGACTGCCAGCATTGTTGGTTTCATGTGTCTCAGTCTAACACGAAAAAGCTCACAGCATAGAAAACATACTACTTAGCATCCCTTTTATTGCTATTCTTAAAAAATACCCAGGAGAGCAGTCTGTATTTGGAGTTACTTTCAGTTACCAAGTCAGCTCTGACCCATGACTACTCCTGTTGACCAGAGAAGATCTGTGCTCACAGTGGGCTGACTTTCCATACGCCATCACCAGGTCTGTCTTCCAAAGTGCCCCTCAGTGAACTCAGACCTCCAACTTTCCGGTTAGTCATCCAACTTGGTGACCATTTGCACTACCCAGGGAATGCACAAGCACATACTGTTGTGAGGTGCCATCGGTTCTGATTACTAGTGACCCTCAGTGCAGACCTGACCCTGCCGCGTCCTGCTCCAGCCTCACCCTTGTCACTGTGCTGGAGCCCCTGATTACTACCCCGTCCGTTCCTCTCGCTGCTCTACCAAGCACAGTGTCCTCCTCTAGCCGCTGGCCCCTCTTGATGACATGTCCAAAACAGAGGGGCTGCGGCTCAAGTTCCTTGCTCCTACGGAGCATGATTATGGCTGTCCTTTCTTTCAGGACAGACTCAGCCATTCCGGATCCTGGCTGTCCATGTTATATCCGCATTCTTCACCTACACCATAATTCAAAGGCATCTTTTTTTCCTTGTCTTCCGTATTCACTGCCCAGCTTTTACAATCACATGAAGTGATTAAAAAACGACTCCTTTGATCCATCTTACTATCTGACCAATATTCTGTAACTTAGACAATCTTATATAGATTAATATTTAATGTACTTCTGATATTTAACAATTCTACAATGAATATCTTATGTATAGATTTCTCACATTGCAAGCATATGCTCAGAATAAATTCCTTGAAGTGGAATGGTTGAGTCAAAGGGTATTGGAACTTTTAATATTGTGTTGAAATAGCTAAATTGCTCTCCATAGAGTTATACTCATTCGTACTTCCAGTTTAAACGCATGAGGTAACCACTGGATATGACTTTGTTTTTACATTCTCATCAAACAGTGTGTCTCAAAAGTTTATCTTTGCCAATCTGTCAAAGCTTATTATAATATAAAATTTCCTTTCTTTTATTAAGCTAAAAATTTGTGTTTCAAGAATCAATGGTATTACTTTTTTCTGTGAGTGGTTTGTTCATCTCCTTTGTCCCTTTTTCTAAAACATTGGTTCCTTTTCCTTGTAGATTAGCAGGAGCTCATTGTCTTTGTGAGAAATATGCCCTTTATTTGCAAACATTTCTCCACCATTTTTTCATTTATCACTTGCTTTTTCTGTAATTTGATTTTCAATTATTGTTGATTTTCTCAAGAAAGATTATTTTTTAAGTTTTTGATTTATTTCATACTTAGGCTGCTTTCACTTGGAGAGTAAAAACCAACCCATGTTTCCTTTTAGTCTTTCTGTGGTTACTTTTCAAAGTTTAAATCTTGGAAATATCTGCATTTGTGTTTGTGTATAGTAAGAACCTTTGCTTCAACATGTTTATTCTCCCAATGGTTCCCCCGCTATCACAATATTACCTACTGAATAATTAGGCTAGAAAGGTTTTTCTCCAGTAATTTGAATCGCCATCTTTATCATATCCAAACTTAAAATATTATTTAGATCTATTGTTGACTTTCTAGAGTGACCCAATGACGTGCCTGCAATCAGTACCCCAACATCACAGACTAATTTCATTATTGTGGCTGTGTGACTAAACAATGCGCATCTGGCGGGGCTAGTTCCCAGCACTGTTTGTCTTTTCCAGAATTTTCATGGCTGGCATTATTACTATTATTTTTTAAGATGCTTAGACTCAATTGACATTTTGGTTATCCTTGTTGTTTTAAGCTAACTTACGCAGAACTAATACCTTTTGGATACTGGGTCTTGCCATCCTTGGGTGTTGTATATTTTTGTATTTGGTCCAAGTCTTCTTCCCGCCTCCATACCCCACCTTTTTATGGTGAGGTCTGCAACACTGTAAAGTTTTGCTTCTTTCTATGTACATTCCCTTTTATTCTTAAAAGTTAAGAATGCACTTCTATCTGGATAATGTTACCATATATATTGATATTATTTATAAAAGACATGACAATGAAAAAACTATTGGTTACAGTTTTATATAAAAAGTCATTCGTTTTTGTTTTGTCCCTGGTTAAGTGCCCAGTTCTTGACACTAGCAAATTCAGGTTTGAAAACTACAGTAGGCCCAGAGCCACAGAACACATCTTTTTAAAAACTCCAGCTAAGAAATGCTTTTCTCCACAAATCTTTCAGCATGTAAAAAAGAACATTAGTTGTTTAGAAATCTTAGCATCGCTTTGAATTTTGGGAATACATGCATCTTGGTAGCAATGGATTATACTCGCCATGATTTATGTTAAACTAATAACATCAAAATTTACCTCCTAAATTCATTCCAGCTTGGAGACACTTCTGAAGTCGGCAGGCAGGGCAGTTCTTCCGCCGAATTTTGTCAATGATGCAATCATTTCTTCCAGCACATAAATAGTTGTGTTGCCCTGATTAAAATAATAAAGGAAATCATTAAAAATAGTCCATTTTATACTAATATAAAGTACTAATCGTTATAACCAGGATATAAAACTTTCTCTTTCTGGTCTTGAAATCTCAAAATAATAATAGAAAGGAAACATTCATGGATAAATTAGACAATATGACGATCAGTTAAATAAGTAGAGCTGAGACTTTAGGTTATAGATGAGAAAACCAACATTAGATTTATTTCCAAATGGTTCTTATGTGAATCGTGCCATCTCCTCCCTGTTGGAAGTTTTTGATAACGGTATGAGCTTTCAGGTGATGGTACAAATTGCATCCAGACCTTACAGCACCATCAGTCTAAAGCAAGGCCCTGCTGTGGTTGTGTAAGACACCAGATGCCTGGCCACGAATCACCTATGTGACTTCACTGGGAAGACCTTAAAATTGTGCAGCTGGAAACGGCCAACTAGCTCTCATTCTGCAGACCACATCTGACCTGAAAGAATTTAGACCTGCTCAAAGCATATGCTCAGTGAGCAGACGCTACCGGAACCCTGGTGGTGCAGTGGTTATGCATTGGGCGGTGAGCCGCATGGTCTGTATTTTGAAACCACAGGAGAAAGACTGGGCTTTCTACACCTGTGAACAGTTACAGTCTCAGAAACCCATGGGGGGAGGGAGAGGGGACAAGAGGGGGTGTCACTCTGAGTCAGCATTGACTCATGGCAGTGAGTTCAGTTTGGGTTTAGCAATACCATTCACTCATCTACTCAAAAATATTTACTGAACAACCTCTAGGTATTAGGTGTACAACAATGAACACAATCGGACAGAGGAAGTGAAGACAGGAAGGGCTGTCTACTTTTGTGAAGGGGGAATTGACAGTTAAGAGTGGATAGGGAAGGCCCCGCAGAATGGAGACTTAAAACTAAAAGTCAGAGGGGAACAACGGAGCTAACTGGTTCTCTGGGTGAGAAAACATCACAGGAAGAGGCAGAGGGAAAAGCAAGAGGTAAGGACAGCCTGGGGAATGCCCAGCATATTGGAGCACCAGCAGACACACCAGAGTGGATGAGCAGAGCGGATGCATGCAGACAGCAAGCGGAGACGGAGAGAAGGAGTTCACGTAAGGCTGCTCGTGTAGAGAGGGCACCCTAGGTCACAGGCAAGGTTTTTGCTTTTACTGAGTGAGATGGGACACGACTAGACAAATGGGCTTTGAGCAGAGGAGTGACATGATCTGACTGACACGCAGGAGGATCACACAAGCTTCAGCAGGTGCAAGACAGACTGAGGGGGCCCTGAGGTAGGGGCTATTACTGTAATCTAGTAGCGAGAGGATGGCGGGTTAGATTAATGTGGTAGCAGGGGGCGCCTAGAGCTAATTAGATTCAAACTGCATTCTGGATTTGCTGACAGACTAGCTGGGGGCATGAGAGCAAAAGGTTCCTGGGGATGTACAACTTGAAAAATAGAACTGGCAACTATTGCCATGGGGAGAGCATGTGTTCACGGGAGAATTACGGGGCACACAGCAATAACTGCCACCCCCGCAGTTATTGTAGGGACAGCTCAGTCCTGGGCATGTTAAGTTCGAGCTATCTCACAGGTATGAAAGTGGAGGTATCAAGTCTGTTAAACACACAGGTTTGGAGATGTAATCAGAATATGGTCATTTCTTTCTTATGCCAGAGAATGAATAAAATTGGTGTTATTGAGTCTATAACACTCATACTGACCCTATAGGACAAAATGGTCCCTTTGGGCATTTGAGGCTATAAAATTTTTACACAGGAGCAAGAAAGCCTCATCTTTCTCCCTCAGAATGCTCGGTGGGTTTGAACTGCTGAACTTCTTGTTAACAGGTCAACAAGTCCACTGTGCCAGCAGCAGGGCTCTGTAAAAGACTGGTCATAATTTAGAAAGAGAGAGAGGTTCAAGACTAAAGTTATGGTCACTGAAAGGAGCCAGACAAAAGGACGAAGCCCCACCACTTACTCTGAAATAGTGAACAGGCTCTAACACACACCGGTCAGCCTAGTACCCATCGTACTCCCTCAGCGGCCAACAAGTAAGTTTCTGTGATATTGAGAAAATTAAACTCTAAAAGTCAAGCATTTCCTCAAATACCACTTCCTTCTCCCATACTACCATCCTGGGAGAGTCTAGTTGCAATTGAAATATTGTACATGTCCCACAGAAAAGCTAACCAAAATCAAACTCCTCTAACGTATAGGATGCCTTCCTGGCCAGCGTGTCTTAGTCCATACTGTCGTTGCTGACTTTGAGAAGGGGTGGTGGTGGTGGAGGATAGAAGCAGAGTCACCAGTGTCACTGTGGTAGACAGGGTCTTCGTGCTGATGGAGGACCTGGCACTCAGACCCCCCCACTGTTGGAATCCTTTCTGGGGCTCACGCCATCTTTCCTTAAGGAATCCTCTGCTAAAACCTGGCAAGTAGGCAAAGCATTGGCAGCAAGAAGCCACTCATTAGCTTTAGCGATTCAATCATCAAACCAGAGACACAGAGGCGACGAAGGAGACACTGGTGAGTGTGTTTTACAGACAGCTCTATCCGGAAGAGGCCACAGAGGGCAGCCTAGCCAAGGGCAGGCCAGCAGGAAGAAAGCTTGACCAACTAGCACAAGAGCCTCACGGGGGGAAGGATCGGGGAAGTTGAGAAACCCTTGAGTGGAATTTTGGCCTAGTTTAAATGAATTGAGCTTTAAAATTGTATCAGTCCCTGTACCAGTCTAAGCTCTCATCC